TGTACGGTGCGCTCCTCGGCTGCATCGATCCGATGCTCACCATCGCCGCGGCGCTCTCGACGCGCCGGTCACCCTTCCAGACGCCCTTTGAGCAGCGCCAGGCGGGCCGTAGCGACTTTTTACACGACGAGGCCCATCCCGAGACCCCCTCTTCACGACCCGCGCTCACACGCCTCCCGAAGGGCCCTCCCTCCCGGACCCCTCCTCCCGGCCCCCCTCGCACCCGCCTCGCCCTTGCCGCAGGCCGCCGACGCGGCGCGCAAGCCCTTCACCGGCGAGCACTCGGACCACCTCGCGTACCTGCGCGCCTACGAGGGCTGGCGCGGCGCGAGACGCGCCGGCGGCGGCGGCGCTGGCCGGCGCTTCTGCGACGAGCACTTCCTCTCGCACGTTGCGCTGGAGGAGCTGCACGCGCTGCGCGAGCAGCTCAGCGGCGTGCTGGCCGACCTCGGCTTCGCCAGCAGCACACGGGAGGCGATGGAGGGCGAGGGTGAGGGGATCGCCTCGGTCCACCACGCGTCGCTCGTGCGCGCCATCGTGTGCGCTGGCCTCTACCCGAACGTGCTGCGCGCGAGGATGCCCGACACGCGCTTCGTCGACACGGTGGGCGGGGCGGTGGAGGCGGAGGACGAGCGCGGGATCGTCAAGTTCTACCTCGCGGAGCGGCGGGCGGGCGGGCGCGTCTTCCTGCAGCCGGGCTGCAGCATCTACGCCTCGCCCAAGCTGCCCTCGGATTGGTGCGTCTACAGCGGCAAGAGGCTGCAGGCGCCACGGCCGGGGGGCGCGGGGGTGGCGGCAGTTGCGGCTGCGGGCGACTACACGTGCGAGCGGTGCGGCGCAAAGGTTTTTGCGTCCAAGCCTGCGTGCTTCCGGTGCGGCGCACCCAAGCCGAGGGGGCCGGCGGCGGCGGCACTGGCACCGGCGGCCAAGGCGGTGGCGCCGGCGGGCGGAGACGGGAGGCTGATTGTGCGCGACGTCACGTGCGTGTCGCCGTACGCGCTACTGCTCTTCGCGGGCGGCTCGCTCGTTGTCAACGCCGAGGCGGGCACGGTCGAGGTGGACGGCCACATCACCATCGCCGCTACTGGCCGCGTCGGCGCGCTCCTGAAGCAACTGCGCGCCGAGTTGCTGTCGCTGCTCGCCAAGAAGCTAGAAGAGCCGTCGCTCTCGCTGGTGGGCAGCCCGATCTACGAGGCGATCGTGCGGCTGATCACGAGTGATGGTTTGTAAATAAAGAAAGAAAACAGGCAACCGAATGGGCTGTAGTGCGGTGTCTCACGCTTGAGCACTTGGAGTGGAGCAGTTGGAGCACTTGGAGCGAGGTCCGCGCGCTCAATTTTTTTGTGCTTTGCTCTCTCTCGTGTGGAGCCTCATCCGCCTCGAAAGGCCATCTCCGCCCGTAACCCGCCTGCACCGCCTCACGGCGCGCTCGCTGCACTCACGGGCGAGCAGCCGGCTCGCATCGCCCACAACTCGTCGCGAACCGCGGCCGAGACTCGCCCGCGGCCCCCTCTTTTCGTCACGTCGCGCTCGCGTTGCCGTCTAAGCAAGACCCCGCTCCCTCCCTCGCAGGCGCGTCCCCGGCCCGCGGCATGATATGACCGGCCGTATCATATTGTAGCCGCCGTCTCTGCCCGACCTGCCCCACGACACCCGCTCTCGCCCCGGCACGCGATATTCTTCCCGCACGCAGCCCGATCGTGCCGCGTGCGCCCTCTCATCGCGGCACAGCACGAACCTCCCCCTTCACACACACGCCGATGCCCGGAGCCATGCACCGCACGCTGCCTGCCCCGCAGGATCAAGCCGACGACATGACAGCCGCCCCCGACATCGCGCCAGAGCGGCAGTCTCGCGCCTCGGTCAGCGACGACCTGTGTAGCGCCACGGTCCGCTACGTGCGCCTCGACGCCATCGAGGCGCGCAACCCGTTCGTCACGGACGAGGGCACCGACGCGTACCAAACCCAGCCGGGACCTGTGCCCGCCCGGCTACTTGCACTCCTCGAGGTCATCGAGAAGGACTACGAGATCGGCGACCGCACCTTTGGCCTGGCGATGAACGTTCTCACTCGCTACATGCGCCGCTGCGGCGACCCGCTGACGGATGAGGACAAACGATCCGACGCCGTGCTCGGCAGCTTCAGCCTCGCCTGCAAGTTTAACGAGACGGCGCAGATCACGCACAAGGATCTTGCGGACATCTCGTACAGATACAGTAAGAGTACGTCGACTGCGAGTTCGATTGCGGCGATGGAGTGGGAGATCGTGGATAAGATCGAGTGGGAAATCTGGGAGATGCTCCCCCGAGACGAGGCGAGGGGGCGCTCGGAGGAGGGGCTCCGTGACCCGTGGGACCTAGGCGGTCAGATGGCCTACTCTAGCCAGCGCCGCTCCCGCGCCGCTCGCGACGACGAGCACAACGCCGAGCGCGACCTGGCCGGCGAGGCCGAGACCAAGCGCCGAAAGGCTGTAGCAGAAGTGGAGCGGGATGTGTGGCGTGCCATCCAGGCGGATGCCACCCAGGTCGTCCGCTCCCCGGAGACGGAGTGAGCCCAGCGGGCCGCGGCTGGCGTCCTGGCGAAGGGAGAGCGGCGGCTTGTTGTGGCGCATAAGTGGTGCGTGGGCGCACGACGTCGCGTGAAATGAGCGTGCGTGCCGAGTGGGCCGGTGTCTGGCTGTGAAACCGCTAACCGAGAGGGAAAATCTACCAGCTCGTATCTCCTTGTGGTGGAACTGGAACCGAACCGTTAACGTTTTCTCACGAAGTCCGGTCCTCGAGAGTCGGTCAGACACCTCGGACTGACCAGTGCAGACTCCAGAGCGTGGACCGCAGCGGGGAAGGTATGCGTCAGGGAAGTCGAGTGGAGGGACCGACGCAAGTTAGGGCTGGGAGAATCCTCTAGAGTCCCCACCTTGCGGGGATTTTGCAAGGCCAAGGGCGAGGGGTAGGGGGTGCATCCATCTCGGATGTTGTTGCATGTCGGCGCGGAGAAGAGGAGGTATGGGGATAGAGGGGCTCCGGTCTCTCTCGCATAGCCTACGGATATGCACTCACTCAGCGGATAAATAAATATAGCAGTCATCTCCATGAGAGATGGGCGACGCACGAACACAGAGGTACAGCGCGCACCCCGCCCCGCTCGCAGGGCGTGCATCACACAGGTACAGGTGGACTGTGTGACTCCTCGGGGTTTCTGGGGACTCTTGAGCACTTGAGGTGTGCTAGTCGCTATAGTCGGACGGTTCCGGCACGTCTGACGGGCAGTTCGGGCTCGAGGGAGAGCCGTGGTCGCGGTCGCGGCCAGCGCGCGGGGCCTGGCTAGGGCTGCCGGCGTGATCTCGCCCGACGTGTAGTGCTTGAAGCAGCCGGGCGGTAGCAGCGGCACGGGGGCAGGTCGAGGGGGCGGGCAGGCTCCTTGCAGGAAGTCTTTTCCTGTGCCATGTGCATGAAGTCTTTTCCTGTGCCATGTGCATGAAGTCTTTTCCTGTGCCAGAAAGAAAGAAAGAAAACAGACAACCCAAGGAGGGATGGGAGGACGGCACGCCGCCACCACACAGGGATTTTAAGGAGAGGAGTGTGGTGCTAGCCGTCGCCCACCCCTGTGCCAGAAAGAAAGAAAGAAAACAGACAACCCAAGGAGGGATGGGAGGACGGCACGCCGCCACCACACAGGGATTTTAAGGAGAGGAGTGTGGTGCTAGCCGTCGCCCACCCCTGTGCCAGAAAGAAAGAAAGAAAACAGACAACCCAAACGAGGGATGGGAGGAGGACAGGGTCCCCACCTGCACGAGCAGGATTTGGAAGGACGGACGATCAGGGGACACAGGGGAACGGGAGTGGGTGCTGGGGAGCGCATCGCGACACGGAGGGAGGGGGACTGGGCAGGGTTCACCCACACGATAGGGTCCCAGGGATTCCCCTGTGCCATCCAGGCCAGTGGGCTGCGCAATTCTTTTGTGCCCTCTAAAGCGTAAAATTCTTTTGCAGCGCGCCAGTGTGTGGGTGATCCTTCTTTTGTAGACCGCTAGGATTGAGAGCAGCCTCGCTCTCAATGCTAGAAGTCGAAGGATTGTGAGCAGCACTCCTCGCAATCGTAGCATCTCTGTACGATTGCTAGCACCTACGCTCGCAATCCTACATCTTCTAGGACTAAGAGCAGCTCCGCTCCCAAGGTGACTGTGGTGACGCCTACGACTACTACCAGCGCGCTCGCAATCCGAGCAAAGTCTAGGATTGCGAGCAGCAATGCTCACAATCCGAGCAACATGCCTCCGATTGCGAGCAGTAGCGCTCCCTCGCAATCCTACATCTTGTAGGACTATGAGCGGCGGCGCTGACAATCGTACCCAAGATCCAAGGATTGCTAGCAGGCGCACAGAGGACACTCCCAATCGCTCCAGCCGCGAGCGCTTGTGAGTGAGCGCGCCGGGAGGGTCTCATCACAATCCAAACAGTGATCGCACCGATTGCGAGGGGGCCCGCTCGCAATCCTAGAAGTCGTAGGACTGGTGGGCGGTGTCGCTCGCAAACCAATCGGCGAAAGTTCTAGGATTGCGAGCGCTACTG